TTAGAAACTCACCCTTAGGCAGCTGTATCCTATTATGGGCTGTAACTTAACACATGAGTTTCAGAAGTTGTTAAAATTGAGTTCAGGCTAACAAATCTTAACTGTTAAGAAAAAACAAAACCTCTAGTGAGATGAGATAGCAGTCTACGAAGAGACCTCAGATGGTTCTCACAGGATGGATGCCCATCATGTCTTATTTTGGCCCATTAAATCTTATTTATATATGAGAAGCAAAATCTTATTTGTATATGAGAAGCAAATACATTTGGACAGATGTTGTCTTTAAGTGTTAGAAAAATTTTCCTCTGGGGCTGAGACTCTCAATATTTAAACTCTGTCAAATGAATATTTACTGGTAAAGAAGAGAATAGCCCCTTTGGTCCCGATAACTGAACTGATATCTACATTTTTGTCTGGGTATAAATTCAAATAATAATAGTTCTAAAAAAATAATAGTTCTATCTTGTAGTAAAGCTAATGCCAGAATTTCAATAGGCTTAAACAAAACAGACATTCTGAGTTTAAAGTTACAGGGCGTAAGCTATTGTGAATAAGATGCAGCCATTCTACAGCGAGGTAGCAAATTGGAGTTTGCTTTTCATTTCTAGATGGGCCTCTTTCGGGCACAAGTTATAGGCTGAGGTACAGTACAGTACACATACGGATTTTACTGCATGGGATCTTCATTCCTTTCATCCTACCCCATTCCTTTGTGAAATGTGAAAACTGTAAATGTATCCTCAAATTTATAGATTTCAAGTAACTACAGTAAAAACCATGGGATGAGAAACATACTTGACTCAAGGAGCTTTGTGCTCACACAGCGTCGAGCCAGATCCATTATTACTAAGATGTTTTTAATAGTCCTATTATTTGGCCCAATTTTTCCAAAGGATAAAAATGTACTCTTTGAAGTAAAGCATTCACCTCTCTGATATAAATAAAATCTTTTATGCAGAATAAAGTTTTCTGAAATAAAAGGGTTAATGTACTTCAAATATGTGAGAAATTCTCTTCCAGTTGGACAACATTGGTAAAGGTTTTATCTTATCTTTTTATTATAAAATTTGGGAAACATATTAGTGTAAGATAACATGGCAGCTTAAAAATCAGTGTTAGAAACCAACTTGATTTTGTAGCTGTATTGGCAATTAAGAACTTTTAAACAATCTGTGTTAGAAAGCGTGCCTTGATTTTGGTCTCCAGTCAAGTGAAAGTGTTTTCTCCCCATAGGCAAGTTTGACATTCACAAATTTCACATCTTATCTCAGTTAGCAAATGGTTTCCTGATGGAAAAAAATGTTGCAATTGTCCCTAACCTAGGCCTCAGGAAGTGTACCTTCAACAGGCACAATATAAACTTTTCCCCATAGACCCCAAGGACATAACTTCTAAACTAAGACCGTGGCTACTTAGCTTCAGTGGTTCCTGACTGCCTGAATCTTAGAGAGACCCCATCTCCCTCCTTTCCTGGCTCTGACTTCTTGGGTGCTTGCTTGCCCGGTTGCTCCCTCTCCTCAGAACCCCCTTCTCCGCTCCACTTTGCATCATACTCCCGTTTGGATGTGACTACCTAGCAGGTTCCCTGGAGACTCCCCAAAGGCAATGTCTAGAGAAGACGTAGAAGACAGAATTCATGAGACTTTGGGGGACACCTAGACACAAACCATAACACCTGGCTTCACCTTGCACTAGCTGTGTGATACTGGCAAGTCACCTTAGCTGCCACGTGCTTCCGTTCCATTCCCTTCCCTATAAATAACAGTGGCACCTCCGTCACAGGCTTGTGTGCATGGGCCAGCACAGTGCCTGCCCCATGCGAGGCCTTGATGTCCCAGGGTCACTCTGTAACAGGAGGAGGAGGAGCCGAAAGATGGCAGGTAAGCTCAGCACGCTCTTGTGATTTGAAAAGCTGCCATGTACACGCGGATGTGAAGCCCAGACATTTTGGAATCACGTTTTCCTTTGAGAAAGCACATGTGACACTGCCTAGCGGTGGCGCGCAAGCAACAGGTTCCCGCGGCAGTTCAAAAGAGTGGAGGGGGTGCTCTGTGACAACCCAGCTTTGGTGGCGATGGATGAAAACTGAATGAAAAGAAGCCAAATATGGCACAAGGCTGGGATAGCAGACAGTGTGGAGATGTGTCATAATTTTTCTGCAGAGAGCTTCCATCCAGTGCTGCGGAGCTCTCTGGGGCTATTTGTTACAAAGCACAGACGTTTATGCGGGAGAGAATAGCTCTGCATCAGCTAGATGAACAACTTCAATTGCGAGCCCACATTCTTTAAAACCTCTCTTCTTTAGCTTTCCTTTGAAATGTGAAATAGAGGATTACAGAACGAAAGAGTCATGGAGTTCATTTTCACTCAAGAAAGAACATTTTTTTTAAAAAAATCACAACTATTGTCAAGTGAATACATTGTCTGACACAAATTGATAGATTCAACATTGCAGAATTGTAAACTGCCATTTGAAAGGCTGCTCCAAGTGACAAAAGCCTTTTAAATTTATTTCTTTAAGTAAACCTAACATTCCATCTCTCAGCCCAGAGAACTCTCTAGGGATGTTTCCTGATGAACAAAAAGAGAAAATTCAGTTACTATTGCATGTTTTCAAGCAGATTAAAAGCCAGTTGGGGCAACCAGTAAGTCAAATGGCCCTTTATGCCTCCTGTATTATTTGTGTCTACAAAATAAAGGAAGGAAGCACTGCCTTTGCATTCACAGAAGAGAAACGGAGCAAACGCCTGAAAGCCCTCTCCCCTCCCTTCCTGCTCCTCCTCCTCCTCCTCCTCCTCCTCCTCCTCCTCTTCTCCCTTCTTTGTTCAGTTAGGCTGGATTTTAAAACCTCTTAGATTGCTTTCCCTGTTCCAGGACAGCAAGGTACCAACTTCTCTCAAGGAATTGGCAGCCGTGTGAGAAAGATCCCAGCCCTTCTGGTGGAAAGAGCCCGGAGGGAGTGGTCGTGGGGAGGAGCCAGGAGCGAGGAGGAGGAGAGGGGCTCCTCAGAACCTGCCACTTGGAGCCAGTGGCAGTGGGAGTGCCGTGGCAGCCACCTGTGGGTGTGCCAGAGAAGTCCACGTGCCAGCCCTGGCTTGGGGAGCACCACGCATTGCCAAGGCATGGCTCAGCCACCAGACTTTTGACAGTTTGCTCTGGAAAGCTAGTCCACCCAGTCCCACTTATTCCACGAGGGTGGTGAGCGGTTGCATGTGTTTTGGTGTTAGGAAAGCTCCCAGTACAGAAAAGTTACTTTCATTCTATCATTTTTCAGATTAGAAAAACCAGAGGGGCAAGGAGCAGCAGTTTAGTACTCACACCAGTTAAGTCAGGCAAGTAGAGGCAGACTGGCAGTCTGGGTGAGCCCACGGTGCTGTGTGGTCAGACTTGGGCTCTATGTTAACGACAGAAATGCATGAAGTTGTCCTACTTTTTGTTCTTCACATAAAAGAACATCTGCAAAGGTCTGGGTGACAGAACTTCATGGGGGCTTTCTTATTTTTTCTTTAAAAACACTATTCACTCTTCTACATGGCAAGCAATTGCTGAAACTTAGTGCAGCTGAAAAAATGGACCAGATGTAAACTTCACAAATTTATGGAGAACTCAGAGAAAAACCTCTCTAGTTCTTTTTGCTGCTTCTACTCGCCCAACCCTTAGCTTAAGTCCCCTGGTCCTATACAATTTATCCAAAGCCTTGGGCAGCCCAAGAGCCCTTTTATCTTTCACTAGGAATTCCGGGCTATTGGAGGAGAGAGACATTCTTTCCTTCTCTTTTCACTTAAAGAAACATACCAAGCCTCAATAGATTCCAGGCTGGGCTAGGGGATGGAGTGATTTTTATTAGTTCTAACATAGCTATTGACAAATGCTTGAAGACAATATTAAGAAAGGAAGGAAGAAAGAAAAAGAGAAAGAAAGAAGTTTCACTTTGTGCCTTACAGGGCAGATTGGTTACAGTTTAATTTCTAAGAGGAAAAAATTATAGAAGAAAATAGCCCGGCATTTCTCTTTCTTCATCATACATATGAGAAAAATAAAGTAAAAGGACATCTGGAAAGGGATGTTATTCAGTAATCAGAAAGCAAAAACCCACACCATTGATGTTCTGATGGAGACAAACATAACTAGATTCACAAGGAGGAAAGCTGTAACCTATTGAAGCTTTAAAAAAAAAAATCCATATGCATTTTACCTTTTGGGCAGTTCCAAAGCAAAGTTCTATTTCAGAAGCCCTTTGTAATATGACACCCACTGTAGATAAGATACACCGTGAAGATAGTCTGTTTTGCAGCAGCAGGAAATCAAATTGGTTCCAGAAACGAAGTTCTATGACAAATGGCTCAACAGTATTGGTAGAATTGGAAAGCTTGATTGAATTCTTTTTCAGAATCATTTAAAAAAAGATTTCCAAATAAGTTTGCTATAACAAAGGGGATGGGGGTGGGGAGTGTTGCTGGGTTTGGAAGCATCTCATTTTATTGGTCTTTTAACTAAAATGTTATAATGATTTGTTTTCAAAATTTAAGAGCTCAATAGTGATTTATTATCACATTTTATTTGCCAAAAAAATGTTCAGGTAAGCACAATCCTTGATTTCCCGTAATGAGTGTACATTGTGGAGGATTAAACAATTCAGCAAATGGGAGATATATTTTATTATTATTTCCAAGTTATTTTTAGTTTTGATCTCAGTCCCAGTTAGCCGGCTTTCTTTAAAAATCATCTGGAAAAGCTCATTAAGACCTGGAGGGGTTTCTGATTTTAGAAGGGAGTTCTAAACAGTTAGCAAGATGTATCGCTGCAAAATAACCTAGGGTCTCACGCCGGTAGGTGAGATGAAATCATTTTTCTGACTGAAGTTCAGGAACAAGTTAAATATCATTTAAACCACAGCACAGGACTACAGAGACTTAGAAGAAATCATACTTAAATAGGATGTGACTAGACAGTTAGGACTATTTTCTAAAAAGTCAAAAAACTTCCCCTTCAGTACTTACAGTCTTTGAAGACTACAGCCGGGTCTCTGTGAGGCAAGACTTGGGCAATAATGTGTCTCAGAGATTCCAAGGTTCTGTCCATCTCGGGTCTGCCTGTGTACGCCTCCTGCACACAGTGTCCTCATGCCTGAATTCTTGCAGTCCTGGACTGAATTTGTGCAGCTCATTGATGCACTGGATTACCAAAGAATCCCTTTTAACATCTGCCAATCAGACATTTCCCAAATCTAAAGACCCCTCAGGGGGCCCTCCTCGCAGGCTCACTTATCTTTGTTGTAGGCTGAGCTAATTAGCTCGAAAGGCTGGCTGACAGGCGGGTTCTCAGGGCTTCCTTCTGTTAAACACACCCACCTACAGGCTAGCGGGGGAAGCTCGCTAACCATGGGAACAGCGCTCCTCTCCAACCAGATTTTGCCTGAACGCTGAGCAGCGTTCTTGTTTGGGCATTTCTTTCTGTTCTCCGTGTTGAATGATGCTGCCCTGAAGAATACAGAAGCAAGAAACTTATTTCTCAAGGAAATCTCCTCAGTAAGGCCGAGACAGCACAGGACTACCGACCCAATCAACATAATCTAAACTCTCCTTTGGTGTAGGAGCATTCCAAGGGTGATGGCTGCAGCCAGACTGCATTTTGTATCTGATTTCAGGGCACCTCTTCCGGAAGCCATGCTTTAGTGTGCTGCCCCCCCCGCCCCGCCCACCTCTACTCAAGTTATTGTCACTTCTGATGGGCAGTGGCAGCAAAAGCTAACGGACTGTCTTACAGCTGGCCTGGGAAACATTTGTTTCTCTATTTACTCTTCAAAGCACATCATTCCCAAAGTTGACTTTAATTAATTCTGATATCATACACTTCATTTCATGATGATTCCTTCTGTTAAAAATTTCAGAAGAAAGAAATATTTTTCAAAGAAGAAAAGTAGTCATTAAAGATCTTAGGAAACAGATTTTTTTTTTTTTTGTTTTGCTTCTCTGATCTGTATCACCATAATTTACAAAAATGATCATTTGACAAGAGACATAAATAGATCATGTGATTCCACTTCAATACTAAGGAATTGAACCATATATGAAGTAACTAATTTTTTTTTAATTTATTTTTATGTGTATGTGGCCAGCTCAGCCCACCAGGGGGCGGGGCTGGCTGACATGTGGTGCTGGGGGATTGAACCGTGGTCCCTATGCTTTGCTAAGCTTGTTCTAAGTAGGTACTTTAGACCACTGAGCCATCTCACCAGCCCAAAGTAACTAATTTTTATAGGTGCAGGCAATGCTGCTTATTGGAGAGTTATACTGTACTTTTTCACTTTTGCTTAAACTATCTTTACAGGACAGCCAGGTGTGGTGGCACAAATCTGTAAGCCCAGCACTCTAGAAGGCTAAGGCAAGTCCAGCATGGGCCACTGAGCGACTCCATGAGAACCTGTTTTGAGATTAAAATAACTAGAAATAGAGCTGAGCATATAGCATAATGTTGAAGCCACCCACTCGATCCCTGGTGCTGCCACCACCACCAAAACCAAAAATAGTAGACACAAGAAATTGTTTTCAAATTTTTTTTCCAATTTTCAAAGTCCATAATTGTGTGTGTGTATGTGTGTGTGTGTGTGTGTGTGTGTGTGTGTTTATTCTTAGAGATTAAACCCAGGGATGCTTCACTGAGCTACGTACCCATTCCTTTTTAAAAATTTATTTTGAGACAGGATTTTGCCAAGTACCAAGTTGCCTAGACTGGGCTCAAACTTGTAAGCCTCCTGCCTCAGCCTCCCAGAGTTCTGGTACCATAGATGCACACCATCAGGCCATTTTATGTCGTACTTTAGGATGAACTGAAACCAGCTCTTTAAGAACTATGTGAACCGAAATATCTTCCATCGGATCTATTTCTTCAAGCTCTTGGTAGAAGGGCAGGCAAAATAAAAAGGAGGACCTGGGGCTACAATAAATAGTTCTTATAAAATGATCATTTCCTGATATATGCCTGTAGTTAGTATAGACCACGCAGAACACAGACATAGGACTGGCTCAGACATTGACTGATGGACAATGAATATATATATATATATATATATATATATATATTCACACCAATATATGATTTTATTTTATTTATTTTTTTTGGCGGAACCGGGGATTGAACTCAGGCCCTTGTGCTTGCCAGGCAATCACTTATTCTACTGAGCCATCTCCCCAGCCCTAATATATGATTTTAATCAGTAAGTGGAATTTCTATGAGCTTAAGAGGAATCCTAGTAGTATTTATGCATATTTTGGTTCCATAATGTTTTGGAAGGAGCAATGAATTTGGGACTAACAAGATCTACAGTTGGGGCCGGCAGATGGCTCAGTGGAATAAGTGCTTAAGTGCTTCCCTGTCAAGCGCAAGGGCCTGAGTTCAATCCCCAGTTCTGAAGAAAGAAAAAAAAAAAAAGATCTAGGGTTGGATCACTGTTTTCTGTCAAACCTTGAAAATCCATTCATCTTACTGCAGTCACAGTTTTCCTTCGTGCAATTAAGGAGTGAACCTGGATGGGTCTTTTGGTTCTACCATGAAGGATTCTATAGCTGTACATACAAGTACAGATATTACAACAGATTTTTCAGTTTTCTGGGTAGTCATTTATTTATTTTGTAAAAGCTAAACTGGTTTTTGAAACAGAGGTCTTCTATTATTAGAGTTAATTTCATATCCATTGATTAATCAGAGAGACAAATTAATATGACAAATTCAAAGATGCTCACTGGTGATGCCTACTACAATGAAAGATGAGAATTTGTTAAGAAAAATAATCTTCAACTGTCATAAGATTTTTCCAAAGAAATTAAAACCATGACCATCATAGAGAGCCCCCAAACAGCTTGCCAGAAAAGCATCTATACACACTGTGACCTTTAATGACTTACACTTAATTAAAATAGGAATTCTAATGAAGGTCTATTGTACAATATTCCAGTTAGGTAGCAGAGTTTCTTCATTAAACTCAATCTTTCAATAAAAATTTTCTTAATATTTTGCTTATGCATTTCTTCCTTGAATGTTCATAAGAACTTCTTACCTTTAAGTGCTGTTAAGATGGTCAGAAAAAAAATAAAACTATGTGGTTTTTTACTATGCTCTTTCTTTGACATGAAAAGCAATGAAAGAAAATGGAAGAGCCTGAGAAAACCATATTTTACTACCGATTCTGCTGTGAACATCAACCATCTGGAGGCTTATGCTGCAGAGAGAAAATACTAAAACAAAGGTAGATGACTGTAGTAAAACCAAAATGAAGCTTGCACAAATCCAAAGGATTAGAAAGGGTGTCCAGTTGATGTTACACTGATCTAAACTTACAACCCAGTGGTCAAGAAGGAAAGCCCATTGCGGCAGCGTGCTCACTGAGCTTGCAGGGAGTGCAGAACTCTTTGAGAGAATAAAAAGTTAAGGTAGTACACATTGTCTGATTTCATGTCTGGTGCAGCAATAAAAATGTTTGAAGGCAATTTTTCTGGTAAGAAAATTTCATTCCTGCCATGCAGCAGTAACCTGTTTGTTTTTCTACAGCTTGTTACAGTTATAGATACGATGAGGAGGTGGGAACCTCAGTAACACTAGATACATGAAAAAAAAAAAATCTTTAAAACAGGAAGGAATCCCCTGGTCATGCTATAATGTCCTCCACTCTGGAGGAAGAAACCATAGTTAGAAAGGCAGGAGAAGAAGCTGTACCCTGCAGTTGAGGCTGGTGAGACCACCAAATACCACACGATTTAAGGTCAGTGTACATAGCCTCCTAAGACTAGGCTTGTAGCAACTGAGCCTGATTTGCTCTACACTGCTCAACCCCAAATAGTGGGAGAACTAAGGGAAGGGGCTGGCCCTGACTGAGATTTCAGAAGATTATTTCTCCTGAAATAATTTTTTCACTTATTGGTTTCTGCCTCAAGCATTTATGACTTAAGATAAAATAAATAAAATGAAAGGCATTGAAGTCATCCAGATAAAAATGTTAGTATAGAGAGTAAATAATGTCTAGAAACAATGCGGAATGACTGACAGGAATTCTGTCCAGGTTTTTTGAGAGATGGGTAGAGGGAACCGGGAGGGGGAAACATGGTAGTGGTGATGGCAGGATGAAGCTGTGTTCCAGAAGCTTCTAAGGGTGTAGGGGAAGAAACATGGAAAGGAAGGGCCTGGGAAAAGCTGACTTTGCAGAAGCCATGACTAATGACTTTCTTGTTGGCTTTATTTATTTATTTATTTATGTATTTATTTAGTGGAACTGGGGATGGAACTCAGGCCCTTGCGCTTGCCAGGAAAGCGCTTATTCTACTGAGCCATCTCCCTGGTCCCTCTTGTTGGCTTTATTTAGCTTCAACTCAGAAGAGACCAGTAGGGGGAAATGAATGGCTGGTTAGTGTGTTTACTACCAACTGGGAAGACACAAGTTAAAGGGATGGATGACTGCTCAGTTCTCCTTTATTTTCTGTGTGCTGGGGAGGAACCAGTGAGACATTTGAGTCAAGGTGTTTAGGACAGAGTCCGCTGGAAAGGTAACTCTGGATGATTTCTACACAAAGTTTAAATAGAAAATGAACAGAACTTTATTGTAGAAGTTTGCTCATTTATATTTCACTACATTCATCAATAAACTGGCCATGGTGTGTACACCTGTAATCCTAGTACTGGAAGGGCTGAGGTAGGAGGATCACCACAAGTTTGAGGCCACCCTGGGCTGCACAGTGAGTTCAAAGTGAGCCTGAACTACATAGTGAGATGCTGTCTAAAAAAAAAAAAAAATCAATAAGTAATCAAAAAAAGGAGACAAACTGTTAAAATACATAAAAAATAAATAGAGAAATGATTAGCTTAAGTATAAATTAAGGAGATGTATCTTTCTTGGTTTTTACAGAAAACTATGAAAAAACCACTAGTAAATTGCTCTTTTTCTTTGCCAGGGCAGAATCAATACTCAAATTTAGAAAACACAACAAAAATCTATCTCTCACTTATCTAAGCCTTCTGTTGGCACTTATTGATTTACATGGCATATATTTGTGACTGCTGCATAAATCCATGTTATCTTGATAGCCTTTTGTAGCCAATTATCCAACTCTGCTTCAGCATTTTTCTTTAAGAGAAGCACTTCTGGCTCTGTAGGAAATTCTGTAGAGGCCATAGATAGCATCAGGGGGAGCTTTCATTGGTTCACACAAACAATGGGAAATGACCTAAGGAACTCCTTCCAGACTCTTCGGGAGAAGGGTGGAAGGAACTGGAGGGGCTAAACATGGAATTGACAGAGAAGGGTCAGAGCTTTGTTCAAGAGTGTTTCTGAGAGTGTGGGAGAGAACGATAAATTCAGAATTACTTACA